ACTCTCCCAACTGCTGCCATCCAAGTCAGTACATGCTGATAATATCTTACATTATTTTTCCATAGCTAGGACTGCATAATCCCAAAAGAATTACTGGATATTTCTAGTATGTTCACAAACAAACACCATCACCCCTGCCAAATTCTCTTTCTCGTGTCAAAAAACAAGAAGCACTCATGACTATTGTGTTTCCCCAAAAATAAGACAGGGTCTTATTTTCTTTTGACCTCCAAAATAAGCACTTGGCCTTATTTTTAGGGAGGTCATATTATTTTTGAGGTGCAGGAGGTGGTGAGCATGATCACCTCATGGCTGCTGCTGTGTTGCAATATTTTGGGGGAGGCCTTATTTTCGGAGGAGGGCCTGTTTTAGCACATGCGCTTAAAAGCCTGATTGGGCTTATTATCCGGAGAGGTCTTATTTTTGGGAAAATAGGGTAGCGATCATTGGAACTATACTATTATTCTGACCCACAGAAGTCACAATGACTAAGCTAGCAGGGATCTCCAAGGTTCCTTTCTACTCTGTTATCCTGTATTCTATAGGAGGGAGTTCTGGGGATTGCTTTCCATGTATGCACAACATTGGTTGGGATGAGATATAACTTTATTTAATTGTTTTTCATTGCATTTCTGTGTGTTTCATAATTTTCTTCAATATATTCAGAAATAGAGGTGCTTGCATTTTCTGTATGGGTTTTTCAGGCTTTATCCAGAGTGTTCAGGAACTGCATGGAGATTTAATTCTTCAAGTTGTGCATTCAATCTAAATTTATGTGATAAGGAAAATCATGAATACATTCTGCATGCTACTACAATGCTTCAGAAAACATAGGCGCTTCTATGCTTGAACATTCCTTCTGATTTGGCATGGTAGAAGTTTAAAACTTCATGGAGAACCTAAGGTAAAGATAGCTTTCAGAGGAATTTTTGACATGCCAAATTGTTTTGACTGATCCTTATAATTTCCATATACTGCAAAACACAAAAGAAATATCCTGAAATATTTTGTTATTTCATGCTGATAGGAAAATTGATTGTTCTGTTGTGTAATCTTGTTACAATTATATTAAATTACCTTTTGTTTGTTTCTTCCCATGAAAGGAGAAAAATTGAGTATAGGTAAAAAGTGTTTTGAATATTATAGCACTGATGCCTGCTGAGACAGTGGTGGGTCCCTACCAGTTCAGACGGGTTCGGCCAAACCAGTAGTTTCACGGCCTGGGTGACTTGCTTTTTGCTTCTGCACATGCGCAGAGCAATTTAGTTGTACAGCGCGCATCAAGCGCATCCCTGAGTAAACCGGCAGTAATCTCTGCCAAAGCCCACCCTTTTGCTGATGGTGATGCAGTTGAGGCCCAAGTTCAAAACCACTCTCAGCCATAGAATGCACTTAATAAATTGGAGTTAATTATAATCTGTCAACCCAGCCATAAGATTCCAATGGAGAAAATTGGACTAGTCATCTGTAGCACATGGATTCTGAACACTATCGTTTGGGGAAAAAAAACAACCCAGTGGAAAACTGGAGCTAGTTCAAAGGAAACCTACCAAGATGGTGAATGTCTGAAAATTAATCCCTGTGATGAAAGATTAAAAACTCCAAGTATGTTCAGCCTACTATAATATTTGAAATACTTATATTTGAACATTTGGAAATACCTGTACACATAAGGCACAAGTATAGGAGAGGGCATTTTTTGCTTGGCAATAAGGTCCTTGTCAATCACAAGTTAAACATGAACCAGTAGTGTGATAATCATATTAAAAAGACAAAGACTATCTTACAGTGTATCAATAAGAACAAGACTTCAGATTACACAATTTTCCACTTGACTCTGTTCTGGCCAGACCCCCATTAATAAAAATGTTGGACAGCACAGGACCCAGGATAGCATACTGTGGGACCTGATAACCTCCTTCCAAGCTAAACTTGAGTAATTATTGAACACTTTTAGGGTTCATTAATTTAACTGTGTCTACATCTAACAGTATAATCCAGAATATTATCATATTCTGCTGGAGGCTTAGTTGAGGTTCATCTCTACACTATGTCCAATGCATTCTCCTGAACTAATAAACTTAAGTCTGTAAAAAAAAACAAAGTTAGTATAGCATGGTTTATCTCTGATTAATCCATGCTAAATCCTATTATTTATACCATACATAACCTAACTTTCACAATATGTTGCCTTTTGCAGTAAAGATGTCAAGTATACAGGACTGTGGTTTATTGAGACCTTCTATTTTTTCGTTTTAAAAGATGGAGATCATATTTGTGCTCTTCCAATATTCTGGAACTTTGTTATTCTCATGGGAGTTCTTAATGATTACCATTAGTCTATCTGATGCTGGAGACTTGAATTATTGACAAGTTCTCAATTAATTTTTTCTTGTCTTTCCAAGCTTCAGATTCATCCTTTTCTCAGTGTCATAACCATAATCAGCTAGAACCCTACTGAAGATCTAACAGAAGACAGACATGTAACAAGAATTAGGAAGTCAGCTTTCTGATTTTCGCCCATTAACACATTTTCATCATTTTCTTCTTGAAGTAAACCTAAACTCTGGCATAGTTTTGTGCTGGTTAATAGACAAGAGGAAAACATGGTAAACTGGTTGTTTATACGTACTATAGTTTAATGACTCATCCCTGCGTTGCTCTAACATTGGTTTCTGAAGCCACTTGGGGGCAGCAGAGGAACATGTTTCTCATAGGAAAAAACATATATAAGAATCCCACATTTTATCCATCCTAAGATTTGATATGGTATTTCAACTTCTCAGTTATCAGTTTTGGTCTACTTGGGAAGGAGGTTGAGAATTTGTCTTTTTATGATGTTTTTACAGGTAGAAAATATGCAAATCAGTATTCCCTTTTTCAGGTCATACAGGTAGTATTGCTGATTTGCATTTCAACTGGTAATTCCAGAGCAAGGCAGTTAATGTACACCATATCATGTATGGCCAATTTTGTGTGTAATGAAAGTACTTGTTAGAGGTATACTGGCAGATGCTATTAGGAAAATTCTATTATAAATATTTTGATCAGAGGACACTAGACAAAATGTTCAGAAAAGAAATGGAGATTAATAAATAACTTAAACTTTGGAGCAGACCTGGTTAAATAAATTAAGTTTAAGGTTGTTCTTTAAAAATGCATGAAAAGATGCCCTGGTCCTATGTCAAATTATAATAGAAAAGGACACTTTTTCATTCTAAATATAATTGTGCATTTTATTCTCCTCCAATTATAATGTTCATCAATACAGTAAATTTGCATTTTAATTTTACTAAACTTATTAGAAATTTTAAATTATATTAAATTTTATATAAAGTTTAATTGCTATTTTATGTGCTTAATATATTTGTACCTCTTCAATCTGAAAGCTTCTAGGTCAGGCTGTAGCCATCAATTAAAGTAATTTAAAATAAAAAATGAGACAGGAAATTGCATAAGACCTTTAAAAACGGATCTGATTTCATACTGTTCTGAATTATACATCAATGTTGGCATCAAGGAAGTCATTCAGAGAGGAACAGGTTCTTCCCTGTTCACTAATAAGTCTAACTTTAGAACATGGGGCACCAAGAGTAAGCTTAACATTTAAAATTTAGGAACAGGCTTTTTTCCAGATATACAGACTGCAGCCATTAAGAGCTATTGTAAACATTAGAAATTTTTTTAGAAGAGGACAGTGACACTAATGACGTTATTTAAAATTTAGCAATAATCATATTTGACCACTTGAGAAATCAGCTGAGATATCTCAGCATTCTTCAAGGGTAATTAAAAATGGATAAGAAATGACTGCAAGTTGGCAGATCCTGATTTTTCGTGTATTTAAGAGCCAGGGATGTTTGCAGCGTACATCAAAAAAATCAAGATAGAGGCCACAATGTAGTGATTGAAGCTATTTCTCTGTAATGGGATGTGAGAATGACCTTGGGAGGTAGGAGAGAGAGCCACAGACTAGGCAATGGTCAGACAAGAGCAGCCCAGCTTCCAGAAAGAATGGGGGCGTAGCAAATGTCGCAGAAGGACACCCCACCCCCAGTTTCTTAGACTGTAAAGATGAAGTGCAAGAGATGTAGTTTCAGACTTGTAAGATTCTGTTAATGTAAGCTTACAGAGTGTGCTTCTTGTCCCAACTACTTCTGCTGACATCAGTTTTGCAAGTGCTGCTTTTTGGAGTTGTGTCAGAGAGGGTTCTGGCAGTAATCAAAACGGGACATGAGGATTTTATAGTTTTAATTCTATGAGATATCACATATGCTTGTGGTACGTAAATAAAGGGTACTATTTATGGCTGTTTGGATATACACTATCTATAAATCAGTAGCAACAAGATATAATTGGTCTAACTGATGGAATTGAAGAATTTTTCAGAGGGATAACTATGTTGTGCTTTTATTCTAACACTCACTTGTGGCATTTTAAATACTACCATATTTAGCATAATATACTGTACAGCATCTGTCTCTGTCTCTCTCCTCCCCCCTCCCCCCATTATGTGCATGTGCATATGTAAACATATACATACACATACACAATGTATGCATAGAATCTTGTCTGTAGAAACATAGTTGCTCCTCATATGTAAAGTCCTCTATTTTTGCAAACAAATATTGCTTAATGACAATATTCCAGACACTGAAGCCCTGTACAGAGTGCCCATATATGGGTGCCCCATGGTCATCCAGTTCACAGTAGTGACAATTTTCAGGGCTCTGTTTTTGTAAATCAGAGTGTTACCTCTCTTTAATTTCAGTACAATTTTCATTTCTATGGTGGCCAACTTGGTACAGAAAAGGGACGTTGTAGCTTGGCCCTATCCATGGAATAAGGGGCAATCATAAGAGGGGCTTTAATATAGTAAGCCATTATTCCGCTGGCTGCTGTCTCTTTAAATCTGACCCAAGACAAAATGGTATCAGCAGCCGCTCCGATTTGTCTGGTGCCGAGAGGGAAGAAGAAGAACCCAAACAACTAAGGCAACGCGGAGAAGCGCCGGGCAAAACCTGGGGGAGGGAGAGGAGGAGAAAAGAGGCACCGTCACTGCACCCTCTGGATGGGTGCAGTTTGGGCTTTACCGCAGCATGATGCAGTTGTTGAGAATTAGGCGTTGTTGTTGTTCTTGGGAGGGAAGCAGCTGACAAGGCGGCAGCGGCAGCAGCAGCACCAGCAGCTGGCATCAAAACAAAACAAAACCACTCCGGCTGGCTTCCCATCTTCCGTCCCGCGCGCCGGGGCTGCAAGAGAGGAGGGCCCTTGAAGCTCTTCTGGGTGGCGAATCACCGGGCCGCCTCGGCTGCTGCCTGGACTGCTGCGGGGCGTTTTGCAGGAAGAGGTGTTTTTCCTTCCGACCGCTCCTCTCTAATACCCGGCAAGGAAGAAGAAGGAGACAGCGGTGTTCATGCAGCAGTAACCGCCGCAGCCCGCAACAGCAGGAGCGCTTTAAGCGAGCTGGTGAATGGTGAGAAGGGGCGCTTAGACTCTTCCCCGGGCTCCGTGCGACGGGCAGGCAGCATGCTCGGTGAAGGATGAGCCGAGGACAAGCGTCGCCCAGGCTGCTTCGTTCATTGTCCGCGGACGAGAGAGCAGCAGCTGCCGCTACTGCAGGAGCAAGCGCCCCTCAGGAGCGGAAGGAGAGGCTCTGCGGAGACTTCATTTCCTCTCCTGACCCCTCCGTTTACATCACTAACTGGTGACAGTCCCATCTCGCCGGCAAAGTACCTGCCGCTCGAGCTGCTCTTGGAGAATCTCCTTGTATACCGCAACCATGGCCAGCCAACAGGATTCCGGCTTCTTTGAAATCAGTATCAAATATTTACTGAAATCCTGGAGCAATAGTGAGTGAGCTTCCTCCCTCTCTCTCCCCCCCCCCCTCTTCTCCACCTCCTACAGAATTGCTGGTAGCATGGAGCCAGTGCATCCTTGCCTTGGGGCTGATAGCTTGGTGACCAAGTGATGATGTCTTTCTGTGGGAAGAAGGCTCCCATGATGTACTTCACTAGCAAATCATAATTGCGGTTATAATTATAGCTAGGGTTATAATCATCATTTTTAGAAGGAAGGTAGGATTTCAGTTCCTACCTGGTTTTGCTGGGGTTTTCAAAAGACCTCTCAAGTTCATCTTCTGAATCTAGAGAAGAGCAGGGTGGCATGATTCTAGTTTACCATCCTTAAATGTTTTTGCTTGGGTTTGTGACTTTCATTTGTGGGGAGGATGGCTCTTCAATGGAATAGCAGCACTTGACATACTGTATTTTGTGTTTCTCCTACAGGGACAAACACAGGGGAAAATGACAAATCATCTTAATATTTTTACATATTTACTGAATAATAGAGTAAGGTAGGAAGGATGGACTCCTGGTATAATAAACTACTCAGTATTCGCATTCTTCCCCCCTTTTTGTGGTTTTATTGCCTCTATTTGTGGTAAGTGACTCTGAACCAAATGAGAGAAATCCACAGTGTAAACAAATGGACCTGGAGCTATGCAATGTTTGCAGAGGTCGCTATTACTGATGGTAATTATAGTGGCTCTTATTCTATTTTTTATATGTAGGAAACATTCTTTATAATAAAGCTCAGTGAATGTCAAGAATGTTCACTACTAATGTGAAGTTAATTAAAGCCTCTAGTCTGCCTACTTCGGTTGTTTTCGTAAGTGAAATTTCATTTGAAAAATGTATCCTGTTCATGTCTACTTTATGGCAGCATATTTGAATGGCATCATATTCTACCCACTTCTACACTGCATGCATAATTATTAGAAAGTGAGTATTTTGACCATATCATCATTTTTATGCAAATTTTCTACCTCCAAGTTGTATAAATACATTGGATATATACGTATATCTGGCGATTTGTATTTGTGTAATGAGGGAGGGTGTGGCCTAAGGAGAGCAACACCCTATATCAAGGTGTGTGTAATTATTAGGCAGTGTCTTTTCCTCAGGCAAAATGGGCCCAAAAAGAGATTTAACTGACTCTGAAAAATCAAAAATTGTAAAAAGTATTTCAGCACTTTTGAAATTGCT